TAAATAAATAATAGTCTGTCAGTCTGTCCATTAGTGAAGTTATGCGTTTGTTTCACAAACTAGATTCGAATGGAGAAAAATGAGCAAGAAACTCCATTCGTTAATCTTTTGTTGTAAATCTATGTAACCCAATCACAATTACAAGTTGTCTTCACCTGAAAACCGAAACCGAAACACAAATTGTTGTCCCCTGTGATTTGTATGTGAACTTGTATCTTTGTAAAAGCACCCACGATACAGGAGAAAATAGTGTGAGGAAATTTGAAAAAAAAAACAGCAAACTACCTACTTAACCTCCGTCTATCGTGGGATGATCTCCGGCCACCGTAAGCGCGGGCCTACGGACGGCGAGCATGGGTGGCTCCCCGTCCGACCAGAAACAGACCCGAGCGTACGGGTCGGGTACACGTCGCGTTCCGCGTGCGCCTCAAAGATCCATCAGACCACCACAGATGAGGCCCAACAGGGCCGATGCCGATTTGGAGTCGCGGAGAACCTAACGGGTAACCGGGGCTCCGGCTCGACGTGCAGTAGAAGGAACGGGGTGGTTTTTAGTCGGTAAGAGTATGACACTGCCTCCCGCCTCACCCAGGCGGGAGGAGTCATTCGATAATTAACCCCCGTTAAAAAAAACCTCTATCTATACACTTCTACTCTTACAAAAATAATAAAGTAAAAAAAACTTATTTAACACGAAGTTTATAAACACGTATTTCACGTAGGACATTGCGTGCCACCCCTACGCGGCATGGCGGAAAACTTTGCATAGTTATTTTACTTGTAAAAGCGTAAACTGCTATCACTATGACTAGTAACTTCAGAAAAAATAAAGCCTTGACAACTTTTTGACAATACATTTTTACGATTTATTGCATAAGTTGGGTAACTTTTTTAACACAAATATGTTTTTTTTCGGACAAATAAATTACTTTAACAGTAACTTTATTGCTAAAAGTTTTTTTACGTAAATTCGTCTATTTAACCTAATTTTTGGAATAGATTACCATCAATCGAAAAATGAGTAGATATAATCTCAGTAGTAGCACTGAGTCTGAAATTGTGCCCGGTATATGGCAATAGGCTCACCCCATATTACATGGGACTCATAACATAAATAGTAAAAAGTTCGTGTTACATTGTACAGTGGCATAATGTGCACCTCTGCCTACCCCTTCGGGGATAAAAGGCGTGTTGTTATGTAAAATTCTACTTGGTACAAATTTTTGCCGAAGTCTCTATGTAGAGTAGTATAACCATGCCTCGCTTTATCTTTTAGCTGCTCGTTAGGTTCGCGTTGGAAAATTTTCAAACAACTCTACCAGCTCTACATGTGTTACTGGGATGTACTAGCACGCTGAATACAGTACAGTACAAGCAGAGATGTATTGAAATTGTGAGTGAATGTTTTATTGTTTTCAAAATATAAAAAGTATCGTAGTGGTTTACATTTTTATAGAAACCATTCGTATAATAATATGGCGAGGAGGGATGACATTTTCCCTTGAGGGAAAATAAGATGGAGTGAACCTGAATTAATTACGAAATTGCCTACCCGCTTTGGACCAAGTGTTGTGATTAAGCTTCGTTCCTTTTCTATATGAAAAGAGGCATTTCCCCTGCAGTAGTGATGATGCTAATGAAAATATTTTTGGGTCTCCTCCATCAAATGTTTATAAAGAGAAAGTTTTGGTAAAAAGTATTTTTCAGTTGTCTTGTAATATATACATATACAAATGTTATTTATTTCGTCAATGTAGGTATGTTACAATAGATGGTAGGTAATATTATGGTAGTGCGCCACATTGTGTCTGTACAGATGTCTTTAAAATATTATAATATTAACCTTTACTACAATAGATATTGCAGTTTGATAAGTAAATGGGACATAGCAAAAAAGCAGTCCTACATTTTAACACATAACGTAACATCACGCCTTTTATCCTCGAAGGAGTAGGCAGAGGTGCACATTACACCACTGTACAATGTAACACCCACTTTTCACTATTTATGTTATGAGTCCCATGTAATAGGGGGTGAGCCTATTGCCATATCCCGGGCACAGTTCCAGACTCCGTGCTACTACTGAGATTTTTTTAAAACCCAGTAACACTTTGCCCGACCCGGGAATCGAACCCGGGACCCCTTACCCGGCAGTCGCAATTGCGACCACTCGGCCAACGAGGCAGTCATACATTAAACAAATTACATTTTACCATTAAACAAAAAATATATATTTGTCGTGGCCCACATAGGATTTTTCTCCTGAACTGTGAAAGCGTTGTACCAGCATATATTTTACATACATAGGACACATCTAGATGACCTGGCACAATAATTTCAGGATCACACAAAGAAGTTTTATAAAAAGCAAAACTACACAGAAACAAAAGTTTGAGTCTTAGTTTCAACAGCCTATAAGTGGCCACTGCAGACTTAAGGCCTCTTCTCACACGGAGAAGGTTTGAGCGTTATTCACCATGCTTGCTCAATTGTAAGCCCAGGCTCCCTCGCGATATTTTCCTTCACTATTCGTCATTGGTGTCTAAATAATCTTAGGAAGTACATATAACTCGGAAAAGTCACATTGGTACTTGCTGTTGGTAGGTTTCTGACAAGTATCCTCATGCATGAGAAGCGGGCGTCTTCAACCTCCGGGCCACCACTCTTAGTTTAAATCGCGTTAACAAAATTCTTATTTCATTTACGGCCGATTTTTCAATCATCAGTTAATTTTTACTTAAGGAATAACTTTGAATATTTGACAATTCTTCCGTACTAAAAACTGTCAAGAGTAAATTTTACTCTACAGTTAAGAGTTAACTGATGATTAAAAAAGACGGCCCTTAGAAGAAAACAAAACTAGTTTATGACATTTTAACATTCTCTAACTAACGAACTAAATAGATGTGTCCAACCTACACCCCTATTATATCAGAATATCTACTAAAATTAGAACTATAAGAAACTATTCCACAACAATCTCTTTAACAATTGCCGAGAGTCGCGTCAGACAGGGCGGCGACGCGGCTTTGTACCGTAATGTCGTGTCATACGTTATATTATTGTAGTAACGCAACATTATCCTTTATTATTAGAACAGAGATATAAAACATCCTTGCTCTCTTAATAAGTATAACATATTCTTAATGCGAGAGTCTTTGTTTCTTTGTCTTTTCTACGTACTACCAAAGGTCCTTTTTATAATATATTATTAACTAGCTCCTGCCCGCGACTTCGTACGCGCAATCCCGTTTTCTCCCGTAATTTCAGGATTGTTTCTGTCTTAAGAACCTTCTCCTAATAGTAACAAATACAACAAAAAAAGAATTAGTGAAATCGGTCCAGCCATTTACGCGTGATGCCGTGACCAAGGGAAAAAGGGATTCATTTTTATATATATCAATTTTGAGTATTATTACATATTAGTATAATAGGTATAAACTATTTTTTCTGAGACGGATCACCTCGTACAATCTGGTGAACAAAAAAAAATAATACCAAATGAAGAATTTATCTATAAATTCTTAAGTATAATCTACCAAAGTTCATAGACAGCAAAATGTATAAGCAAGCCAACGTATACATATATAATAGTATATAATAATATGCTCACATAGGCCTATAGTACATGTCAGCATCATTATCCAGTATGTACCTTATCGCCGTCAGCAAACGTTCCCATGTAAACAGCCGCATGTCATGTCAAATATATGGCCCAGTCAACAAGGATATAGCATGGCTGATTGCGCACTGCAGTGCCATATACTAAAGTCAAGTTACATATACATCGTCATTCATATACAAATTAATTCAATGAAATAGATTAATGGTTTTATAAATTACAATCTGTAAATAATTTAAAGGCTTGCTACGGCGTAGCACCGTAGCAAGTTGCTACGAAATGTGTACCGTAGTATTTTTGGTTGTAGAATGTCATGGATATTGTTAGGTGAATTAGATTTGTATTTTATCTATAGTACTCTTTCAACTGAAAGTAGAAAATAATTCGCAACCCGGATATAGAAGCTTAAACCTCAACTAAAGCAATTTGAAACATTTGAATGCCTCAATTTAAACCATTATTAAACTGAAACAATGCAACTAAGGTACAAATAACTCGATGTAGATAGGTTCCTGCTGACCAACCTATCCCAACGTGCGTCACGATATTCAACCCTCCGGCCTCCACGCAAAGCTCACCCGCGACAATCAACGTAACAATTATTACAACATATCGAATGCAATAACCCCATAGCAGGTCACTCCACCTGCCAGTTACCACGAATCAACCCTTCCCCACCCCCTTCCGAGAAATCTACTCAAGGGATATTATTACCACCGGCATTTCCCAGCAAAACTTTATTAATAAACAATTTGTTGGAGGAAACGAACGATTGTTTCTATGCAAGCTAAATATAACCCAGTGTGGGCTGACTTTCAAAGTTTTTTGTCGAGAATAAACTTTGAATATTTCATAATGTTTGAGGTAATTGTTATTTAATCGCTATTACAAGTTTCTGAGTTTATTTCATTGAGTGGACGGAAAGTTCCTGGCAACCTTCCTGTGTTTCATTGACATATTACGGTGCTTGTCTATTACGATAAAAGGTACTAACATGGTGTAATGTTTCATTGACACAAACATAAATCCTCGCAATTTCCACCTAATTTTCGCAACGTTTCGCTAGATAGGTAATAGAAGCGACTCGTTCGTTGTCCCCGAACGCAGCTCCTCACGGAACCCAGTTACGTCGGGGCCGAGGTGGCCGGGTGTCGATCGATTCGCCCGGGGTAGATCTGGTTTTTTCGGACACTATACCAACGGAGGGTGAACGAACCCAGTTATGTAAGGCGGGTCGATAGCGGGCGTCATGCGCGCCGCGCTCGCTGCTACCCCTCAATACCGTTCGCGCGCGCTACCCCGACGGACGTGCACTTTATTTTTATCGCGTTTTTTCGTTCCTCTTTCGTTCTTTCCGTTTATGATTTGAGCCGCCACCATGTCGAAGGGCGATGGTGAACAACAAAACGGTGGTGGCGAGGAGTCCAAGACTAACCTGATCATCAACTACCTGCCCCAGTCCATGACGCAGGAAGAGATCCGGAGCCTGTTCTCCAGCATCGGAGAAGTGGAGTCGTGCAAGCTGATCCGGAACAAGGGCGCGGCGTTCCCCGACGCACTCAACCACGCACTGCACGGCGGCGGCCAGAGCCTCGGCTATGCCTTCGTCAACTACCACCGACCTGAGGATGCCGAGAAGGCCATCGCCACGCTCAATGGCCTCCGTCTCCAGAACAAGACGATCAAAGTGTCCTACGCGAGACCCAGCAGTGAAGCTATCAAAGGTGCGAATCTGTATGTTTCCGGACTACCTAAGACGATGACTCAGGCCGAACTAGAGCGATTGTTCAGCCCGTACGGCAGGATTATTACGTCGCGAATCTTGTGTGAGAACTCTGGCGGCCGACCCTTCACTGGTGGTGAGCAGGGGCTGTCCAAGGGTGTTGGATTCATTCGCTTCGACCAGCGCGTCGAGGCGGAGCGTGCCATCCAGGAGCTGAACGGAACAGTGCCGAAGGGAGCCACGGAGCCCATCACGGTGAAGTTCGCCAACAACCCCAGCAACAACGGCAAGGCGCTGGCGCCGCTGGCCGCGTACCTGCCGGCCGCGCTGCGCTTCCCGGCGCCACTCGGCAGATTCAGCTCAGGCAAGTCCCTCCTAGCCATCAACAAAGGTCTGCAGCGCTACAGCCCGCTGGCGGGCGAGCTGCTGGGTGGAGTATTGCCGGGCGCCGTGGGCTCGGAGTGGTGCATATTCGTGTACAACCTAGCGCCCGAGACCGAGGAGAACGTGCTGTGGCAGTTGTTCGGGCCGTTCGGCGCCGTGCAGAGCGTCAAGGTGATCCGTGACCTGCAGACCAACAAGTGCAAGGGCTACGGGTTCATCACCATGACCAACTACGACGAGGCCGTGGTCGCCATCCAGTCGCTCAACGGGTACACGCTCGGCAACCGCGTGCTGCAGGTCAGCTTCAAGACTAATAAAATCAAGACCATCTAAGGGGATCGCCCCGTATTCGGCCTAGCCGGACGCTAGGACGGCACAGCAGGCGCGCACCCATACATACACACTCACTCGTACTCGGCGGCCGCTGCCCGCCGTCGCTCCATCGGCGGGCACACCGCGACTTGGACCCAGGCTTGTCACCTTTTCAGTGAAAATATAGTATTTTGTCGTGTTATGTAATTATATGTTAAAATATTACGTTTTCACCGTGTTTATGCGAAAGTGATGGACTTGAACTTACGGTGACGACATAAATTGCCAAATACTTGATAAGCAAGAGTCTAATGTAATGATAGACATAGGTGACATTCCTAATGATTGGACCTGACTTATAGACTGTCTTCCCGAGACGGCCCGCCCTATGTCAGGGTTGCCGGGCGGGCGTTTTTATTATTGTAAAACTAGAGAAATGTTTTTGACTGTAATGTGTGGCAACCCTTTGTTCGCCGCCCGGGTAGTCGGCCGCTAAAATTGGGTTAAGTGTTGAGGAAACCAAGATGGCGGCGAGGCGGGGCGCACTTTGCGCAGGTCCGGATGGCACGGCGCGGCGCGGGAACCAAGGGTCGCCACCGACACGCAATAATAATATAAGCTCCGCATCAGATGTGGGCTACTGGCCAGAACTCTGAAACATACATATTGGTAATAGTCAATAACAAAATAATGATATTAAACTTCGCTTATGAACGGTTGTGGTTATCGAGAAAATAGTTTTCGAATATAAAATAATATTAGCAATAATAGCCTAAATGCTATGCTCCAATTTTTTATGCGATCATATCGTAATAATTACATTAACGTACGTATATAGGAGACGAGGGCGAGAGAGCGCGACACACTCGATGTACGACAGGCACCGCGGTCGCCGGCGCCCCACCGGCCCGGCGCGGACTAATCGAAGTAAAATAGTGTTATATTGTTAAAGATTGGAAAGAAAATATATATTATCTATACGTATATTTTAATCATATATTAAAATTAAGGAAGAAAAAAAACTAATCAAAAACTGTGATAGGTTTTGATACAATTTTAAAAGATCAGAGTATGGGTGTTGCAGGCTGCTCGAGGCGAGCGAGCCCGGCAGTAGTTAGTATTAGAAAAATTTTTGAGATACATTTTCGATGGTGGTAATACGCTTAACACGACGGCCGATGCCAAGTCGTACGGAGTTGACGGATGTTCCGAGTACACGGAGCTTGGGGAAAATCGATCGAGCTAGTTCTGGGGAGCGCGCAGGCGAGCGCGGGCGGGCCGCGGGGCCCGGGGCGCGGGGCGCGGGGGCGCGGGGCGGCACCCACCCTGTCGGTGGCCGGGGGCGGGCGCGCGGCTCGCCCGCGAGGACGAGTCCGTTCGCGGAACAATGGTGCATACTCTAGTCTAACGATATCGTTCCAAAAATATAATTAAATCGATGTCTAAACATATTATCGGTACCTGCTATAATAATAATGTATGGATGCGGCCCTGCGTCTATTCGAACTAGGCTTTAATTGTCTTAGTCTAAATGGAAATTTGTAAATAGAAAAAAAAGTTGTTTAATTTAAATAAATGATTCAGTAACGCCGCGTCTCAACACGTCACACTAGTATCTATAATATCATTAAACTTTACCCGACAAAGACCTACTATGAAACATCGAACTTGAATAGATATTTTAAATATCGTGCCGTCCTAACGACCCTACGATTTTTGTAAAAAAATATATACTTAATATTATGTAAAAAACAGTTTTGTAACATTTCAAATATTAAAAATAAATAGGTATCTACTCATTACATACCAAAAGATGGAGATAAAAATTTACAAGTATTTATATATTTATTATAAATGTAAAACGTGCAATAACTAATAGCCAGTAATTTAAAATTAAAAAAAAATATTATTAAAACGTCAAAAATGACTCGAAGAGGCGTTGGTTGACATAGTGTCAATGCGTGGAGCTCGCGCCACCTTGTTTACTATTTATTGTAAACTATTTGTTTATCCGCACGAAGTACGCGCGATTCGATTACACTCATTGTTTCCATTTATTTCAATAATATAAAAACGACAAAAAAATCGCTTAATTTCGATACAGCTTGATAAATGCTTCTGACATTCCATTTTTAGTGTTAATACTTTTATTAGGAGTACTCTTATTAATTTTAGATAAAATTCGTGAGTTACCTGTGCGTGCTCAAACGTCACTTCGCCTGTCAGCTTGTTTGACAGTTGTCAATTGGGAATGACGTTTGTGAATGCGGATTACGTTTGATTTAATTTCGATGAAGCCGTACGGTTGGCTAAGAAATGAGTATTTGTATGGTCGACGTGTGAAGCACAAGATTTGCTATACCTACTTATTATCTATTATACTATGTAGTCGTCTCTTAGGTTAAAATAGTTGTTGTGTTTTGTGTTGTTTTCATTCAGCATGAAAATTTCAACTATTCTAGTCATATGTTCCGAAAGGAATAATTATTAAATTATAATAAAGAAAATATTTGATATTTTGAATAGTTGAAGTTAATGGTCAATGTTGATAATAATAATCTTAATGATAATTTTGTCATAATATTTTTCATCTTAGATTTACTGTCATTAATTTAGTGTATGTGCAATTTATTGTATTTTATGTGTAAAACTTAGTGTGCATTTAACTTATTTAATATTATATAATTTATAAATTATTATATTCCTAAATATTAGTTTTTATCGATGTCGATATATTTCCGAGTAATGTCTAGTCACTGATGGTACAGGCGCGCACACAAGTGTCGCCTGTTTATTTATTCGCGTCGATAAAAATTGATGTTTTATCGAGAAGTCGATAAGTAAACCTAAATTGATTTATTTATTAGGGAAATATATCGGGCAATTAATCTAGGTCGGAAGCTTGGATTTGCTAACTTTGGTTGGAGGTGTCGAAGTAACATTTTTGTTCAATTACACAATTTTACGATTCCTTATTGATTTGTTTTCTCAAATGTTTGCGTATGGTATAAAGCTTAATACGTCGTTTTGAATCGAAACATAAAACACCAAAGTATTTTACTGAAATTTCATCGACTTTTTAGATAATAATAAGAAATAATGAGATTGCAAATGATAAAAATGCAAAATGATATTTTGGAGTGAAATTGTTCGTTAGGAGTTCGGTTAGGTGTTACGTCAGAGGTTAGTAGAATGTTTTGTGCGCCCCTCTTCTTTCGGTAATAATTATAAAATAATAATAATTAATAATAGTGCTCAATAGCTTAGAGGGCTATGCCCGTAGTACGTAACGCGAGAAGCAATAATAAATAATTGTGAATTTTATAAACAGAACACACGGGTAATAACTACACCTTAATTAACTTAATATTTTTGTATGTATTTTAAAATATACTGTAATTCATATCTTCATAGATTTAAGCGGCCGACTCGCAAAACGTTCTACTAATTCAGTTGCAGTCCGAGTTTTAATTACTGTAAGTGTAAACTAAGCGACAGGCCTCGTGTTGCAAACTGTAAAAATAAAACCTTGCTAGGTATCGCTAGAGCAATCCATGGAACCTATTTTAAGAGAAATGGGCAGACACGGGCCGCGGAGTAACTGTATGTTGACACACACAGCGTGTGGCCATTGTGTAGAGGATGAAGCAATCAAAACTCGGACTGCGCGAGCTATCTACAAAGCTATGGTATATAGGTTGTGGATACAAACGTCGATGCTAAGTAACTAACCCCACTAAGTGACAAGGGATATCTGATCAATAGCATAACGGCTACTTTTTGAAAGGTGTTTTGATGCATTTTTATGAAATTAAAAAATAATAATATTATTAAAAATATTAAAAAATCGTAAATTAATTGGCAACACAGAAACAATACTCTAATACGCATAGGCTAATTGACAATGAGGCTGTGAAATTAGCAAAAATAAAGTTAAAGAGACACGTGACGATTGATCGTAATTTAATAAATAAAATATTAACGTAAGTTAAATCACAGAACAGAGACCTAATGGGAATTTATTTCATGCGCCACAGACTCGTCGGCACACATCATTTCCCAGTCGTTTCCCAATGTGCCGATATTCACACTTTCCCAATCGAGAGCATGATGCTTTGCGTAGCATGGATGGATTGCAACGTGCCATATTCACTTGTTACCGATTCTTTCCTGTGAACCATTCAACGCCACTTTTATAATATAAGGAAAGTATGTATCTATATGAGGTGCTCCCTTAAGGAAGCAGCGCCTCAAGCGACCTGAGCGCGTGCGCAGGTGGCGCTGGCGTCGCTTGAGGCTACATACAGCAATAAAGTGTAATGTAAAGAGTGCGATAGTACATAAGGTATAGGTTGCTAGCCCACAGCCTGAATGCCTCTCTGTTCTGTGATTGGAATCATGCACTCACGCGTACAAAACATGTTTAATGCCCATATTTAATAAGTAAATCAATTGAAAAGTTAATACTCCAAACTGCGTGAACTGTTTGACTGTCCAATGTGAAATAATGGTAGAGAAATAGAGTGAGATGGGAATAAAAGCATATAGAGTTTTTCTATACAGCTTATCGTGTAGAGTGGAATGGCCTTAAACTCGGACGCAAGCACAAAGAATTATCAGTGTGGCCGAGATGTACGCGATTCCGATAGTTAGGTCACAAATGAAGAATGATCTTCCATAGTAAATAAATACGTAAGTTTTATATTTCTTCACGTAAAAATATTTCAGTGAACCACTCCCTGTGTCGCGATACTCGCCGCGCGACGCGCCCACTCGATATGCTCAATTTAACAATGGACGCAGCGACGCAGCGCCCAGTGTTGTGACACAGTCTTCCTACTCGACGGCACTCAGCATAGCGATTGAAATATTTTTCACGTCGTAGAAAACTCGAGACATCGACTAAATGTGTTACTATTACTTCATAAATGTCAAAATTTCTAGTGAGAATAAACAGAACGCAATGCACAACACCTAATGATATGTACTTGTATGCTGCTACAGCTGTATTCTTATAAAAT